GGGCGGGGGACTATGATAGAGGTCTATAAAATCATGGATGGCATGGAGATAGTAAATAGGGAGATGATATTTACTGCTTCACATAACACAAGGACTAGGGGTCACCCAATTGAATTAATAGGAAGCAGGTTAAAACAAAAGGAAGTACTTGTTCACAAATCACATAGTCAACCTGTGTAACTCATTGCCAGGGGATTTTGTGAAGGCAAAAAGTATAACTGGGTTCAAAAAAGAATTAGAAAAGTTCATGGAGGATAGGTCCATCTGTGGCTACTAGCCAAGATGGTCAGGGATATAACCCCGTGTTCTGGGTGTCTCTAAGTCCCCAACTGCCAGAAGCTGGATCTGGACAACAAGGAGTGGATCATTCAAAATTGCCCTATGCTGTTCATTCCCTCTGAAGCGTCTGGCACTGGCCACTATCAGAAGACATAATGCTGGGCTAGATGGACCATTGGTCTGACCTCATACAGCCGTTGGTATGTTCTTGTGTATGTGAATGTGTGTTCTTTGGCATACCCTACAGCACTCTGATGTCACAGGGAGGACACTCTAGGAGTTTGTGGGCAGGCTGGAGGCACATGGCTGATACTGCAACCTATGTTATAGTTCGAAATAGATAGGTTTTATACCTTTGTGCGGTTCAGGGAGTGTAGAGTGCAGACTTTTTTTCATCTGAGCCTGTCTTTTTTCCTCTGGCCACACTTTCTTTCTCTGCGCTGCTCACATATTGGGTGATACTGCATCATGCCATCATCACTGCACTATGTACAGGCACAGTATAGTGCTACATTAATCTTGGTGTAACTTGCCTCTTTTTCACTAATGTGCAGTGCTGTGTACTTCCTTTACTATTGCAAATAATGGATAGCTCATTGTATTGTCATGGGCAATTCCTTTTACATGTTCACACTGATAGGAGCGCCTAAATCGAACACTATATTAAGCTTTCAAAGAGATTCTAAATTCCAGATCTAATGTTCTGTAAGATTCTAAATTAGAATTTTTGTTTTTCCCATATTAACATTATGGTGTTCTCTGATTTAGGGTATGTGTCTTTCTGTGAGCTCTATTGTGTATTAGAACACATCTCTCCATAATACACCCTAATTTTGGTTCTGATCAAAGGTTATATAATTTCAATCTTTTTGTCTTAGTATAACACTTTTACTAATCAATTCTGTCTAGGCACTCTTTAAACCGGGTAGCTGCTTTTATTCTATTATGTATAGTTAGAGCCATTCAAGCAATAGAACATAAGCAAAACCCAATCATTCTTGAGGATGCCAATTTTCCAGGGCTCCATTCCCTAGATGCCTACATTATGGAATTCACCATTGAATGGGAAGCACATCCTGTAAGGCATCCATTAATGATTTTCCATTAATTGGTCACCAGGGAATGTTCATTTACTTGTGCTATTGACATTCTTCTTTCCCTCAGAGACTAAACGCATGCCTTCTACGTGCCTTTTGTTAAATTAGGTCTTTGGAATACAGTAGCTATGCTGGCATAATGCAATTGGGATAACTGTAAAGTATAGCTTTACACTGGTCTCTTTTCCAAAGAAGTGAAGAGCATGAAGAGAGAGTAATTGTTGTTGTTGCTTTTGGTTTTTAAATGTGATAAATCAATGAATCAACTACTTCATTTATTTAGGTCTATTGACTCACCAATCCGTTGTGAGTCTGATCCTTCTAGTGTGAATCCCATTTATAAATCTGAAATTCTTCAACATTTCCAGCATTATCAGAAAATCATATGAGCATAATTAATAGATTCTGGGATAAATTAATCCCTGGTCTAACTCCATTTAAATCAATGGAGTTACACTAGGAATTAATTTGACTCTGTGTGCTTTTTTAGTTTACTCTGAAATGCTCTCTTCCATTGTCACTTTTCCAGCTCAGTGACAAGGGAAGCAAGAATAAGCCCATTACATCTGAACTTTTATTCTGTTTCCCAAACTGTTTGATAAACAGTGAGGAAAGAGGGATGTGGTTTTTTGTGTGATGCACACTGCACGGACAATCACAACTCTCCTTTATAGTATATCTGAGGTAAACTTTCAAAATTTCAAAAGACAATTAAACGTTATTAATTTAGGCAGCATCACAAGTGTCCTTGGTGCTTAATGGGGCCAACTCAGAGAATCACTGACCTGTACTTTCTTAATGTTAATGTAAAGAAAGTGCCCCAAAACTTCTTCACTATATAGCTTAAAGACCTTTTTCTTTCCTTCTCCCTCTTACACCAACTTCTTCAGAGTTTCCTAAACTTTCACTGCCCCTTTCTCTGACTGATAAAAGATTTTGATGACACTCTTCTGCCTCAAGAAATACCAGCTGTTCTGACCCAATTCTCCCAGTAGCTAAAGCCCTCCCATGTCTCCTTAATAAGGTGTTCAGATATCATGGTGATAGGCACCTTAGGAAAATGAACTGTCAAACACTCCCATGGACAGATGTGCTGTGTGGGTTTGTGATGGGGTGGGGGACCCCATCCAGTGTGGGGTGAGTTCACCCCATCCTTCGAGCTGACCTCTGTCTCTAGGCAGTGAGACCTAAGGGCTAAAGTCGATAAAGTTGCCCTGATCTGCAGGGCTGTAAGGCCTAGTGGCCAGAGTCTATATAATCGCCCTGGTTCACAGGGCAGTGAGGCCTAGCAGCCAGTGTCAATAGAGATACCTCAGGTTTGCAGGTCAGAGTCAATAGATATACCCTAGATTCGCAGGGCAGTGCGGTCTAGTGGACAGGGTCAGAAGAGTTGCCCTCCGGGGCGGGGCTGTATGGCCTACTGGCCTGGTGGGGTGTGTGGGCTGTCACCCAGGGGGTGAGTGGCGGTCAGGGTAGAGGTCCCCAGGTCCTCCCTGCTCCACTGGGTCTCAGCCCAGGGCCCTGTCAGTGGCGAGTGTGTCTGCCAATGAGTCAGCGGAGGTCTGTCCACAATGCACTGACTATCATCAGGACAATGGACTATTTCCTACTGTGATACTCATGGTGGCAGTCTATGTGTCTTTGGGGTCTCCGGGTTCCTCGACTCATGCAACTCCCTGTAGCTCAGACCTCCCTGGGGCATCCATAGGTATCTGGATGTCTGCTTGGGTCTTGGTGCCTCTGGCTTCCATGGTCCAGGGCTCCAGCTGCTCCCGGGTGGGAGCTGGCAAGGAGCATCCTTCCTCTCTGGCGGTCAGCCCAGACTGAGCTGGGCTGCCCCCTCTTATACTGGTGCTCCACCCGGAGCATGCCCAGTAGGGATGTGGGGGCATGGCTTCCTCCGCCCACAGTGAGGACTTACCCCGCACTGGATGGGGAAAGGTTGAGTTCACCCCGTCACAGGGTTATGGGTGTCTGACACAAATCCTACTTGTCTTACATTTCACTGTAAAACAGGACTGGTCCTGCCTCTTAAAAATAATGTACTGCTCATCTAAGGAGGCTCTTGTGTATTGTTTAGACTTGCAAGTACATGAAAAATCTTGCTCTCATGAACTGGGGCACCAATTCACTTCTTTCTGAATGGGAACATGCAAATAATTGATATGTAGGTACAGAATCCCAAACTTTTTAGAAACTATGCCCCTTTCTCTTGATCTGTGCCTTCCCTAACTCCCCTGTGGGAAAACAAGAGTATTCCAGCATAACTACCTTCATGAGTGAAGGCTACAAAAAGCCGTCAAAGCAATAAATTATTGTACTTTTTAAATCTCACTTCAGAATCAAGACCTGAAAAAGCCCTATTTTTAAAAAATTGTTTATCTATTTCACATAAAAAGGCAAAAAGATACCTGTGCAAAGACTATCGGTAGCCGGGCAGATTATTAAAATCAGTCCATAAAAACTACAAAAACAAGAGCAAAACAATGTCAGTTTCCCTTCCCCCCCCCAACAACAAAACAACCAGTAATCGATAACATAAAAAAACCCTTCACGTCTCAGAACCCACATAAATGCTTAATCTAAAACAGACTGCAGAATATCACAAGTGGATCACACTATATGCTTTCACATCTTATCTTAATCTTCCACCTGCTCCCATTGCTTTTCTCAAAACAAATACCTCTTTAGACTCTTATATGATCATCCTTAAGACTCCTCACAGATCATTCACTGAATCTTTAATTTCTCTATGGAGTTATTTGTTTATCTAAATCACTCACTTTTAAGACGAACCTGGCAGGATTTCATTGAGCATTTACATGTGTAATTGCTGCGCTGCAAACTTTGAAATATTTAGGCATTCTAGTTCTTGTCCCAGAATAAGTGACTTTATGAATTGATGGCAAAACTTCTATGTACTTTTCCTCAAGTGGTAAGAGGTAAAGTGTTTTATGTATATATTAGTTTATTTTCCTACCCGATCTACAGATAAATAAATTATAATGCAATATTCATTAATGTTGGAGGTTGTCTCTTGTTTTGCTATTAGATTCGGAGGTCATGTTGACATCTTTGGGATTACAAAAGGCTGTAAATGAGTATGTAATTGTATTAAGATCTACAGTGATACAAAATTAAACCATTTACATTGAATGGTCATTGGGAGGGCGAAAGGGGACATTTTTCTGCTTTATCAGATTATCAGGGTTCACACATTCTGATGAGGGGAGTGTCTGTTTCTGGATGATCTGTAAATCCAGGTGGATACCATGTATTTTTTTCATTAGACAAATATTGTTCCCTGAGTAATGAAACATAGAATAGCATACTACAAGATGTCGGTGCAGTTTTGTTATATATGTATCTGTTGTTTACATCTGTCTCACCTGTTCGAAACATTTCTTCAGTGCTGAAAAATCAATTGTGTTTGCAGCATAGTATCTTTCAGTTTCAAAATTCAAAGGCTTAATTATTGCAACCTTTGGCCTCAGTAGGGTTTCATGAGTGTAAATGAAGTCACGATTTGATACTGTGTGTTGAACGTATCCTTAGTTCCCTTCCCCCACCTTCCTTTCATATATCAGAATAAAAAGAATCTTTTCTTTCCCCCTGCACCCATAGGCAAGTATTTCCAAATGGGCTTCCTGAAGAATATTCTTTAATAGCCACATTCCGTGTAAGACGAAACACCAGAAAGGAACGGTGGCATATATGGCAAATTTTAAATCAGTCTGACACCCCACAGGTAAGAATATATTTTATTTTTCACATAGTTTTCTTTTTTGTTGGAGGAGGATAGATATAGGTTAGTGGGTCTTTCGCCTCTGGATTCAGATCTAATTTACATAAGACAAATCTGCTGTTCAAAATAGCTTGGTGGTCATTATTCAAATACAGAAATACAGAAGTTCAGCAAAATGTCTCCAGTAATATTAGAATGATACTAGGTGTGTTGAAATGTAGGATGGATGGACACTGAAAAAGTTACATGAGAGAATATTTCATGATTCCTGCCTAATCTATGCTATTAGGTTGCTCACTTATTTTTCTTCCTGGTTTATGTACAGAACATGTTTGCTTGTAATTCTGACTTATACTAAATTACGTTTTTTTCCCCAGGTGTCTGTCATAGTTGATGGTTCAAAAAAAGTTGTGGAATATATAGCCAAATCTGCTCAGGGAAATGTGCTACACCACACCTTTAAAAATCGGGAAATTTATCCTCTCTTTGATCGGCAGTGGCATAAGCTTGCCATTAGTATACAGTCAAGGATCGTTTCCCTCTATGTGGATTGTAACTTAATTGAGAGATGGCAGACTGATCTAAAGGACTCCATTGACTTTCAAGGAAGGACTTTCATTGCTGCTCGAGCTGCAGATGACAAGCCTGTAGATGTGAGTTGTACCAGTGAGATAATTCTTAAAGCAAAATGGGCTAATATGCAAATCATGTTTTAAACATACTTGTAACAGCATACTAAAGAAATATGAAAACAAAACAAAATGCAAAAGAATTAATACCCATTGGGTGTTTTACATCAGTCCACTGGTCGAATTTTTAGTTATTCTCTTCTAAAACAAGGTATCAGCTCCTGCAGTCTCTATTCAGGCAAAACTCTCCATTGTTCTAAATGGGCATTATTGTCTGAATAAGGACTACAGAGGGTTCCTGTTTTCAATATTATTTACATTTCTGTATCCATTTAGAAGTTAGTCATTTTGACTTATTACTACTGTACCGTTTAGGGCTCACTTTATAGTAATGGTTTTGTTTTCAGTTTTCAGTTTTCAATTTTCATATTATTTAATTTGTCATCGAAAGGGAAAGAATGTATAACATGTTTAGCCACTCCAAGTATTTTCATGGGAACCATTAAATCCTCACCTACCCAAACATGGTAGATGTATGAGTCTGAAAACAGTATAATTCATGCAACTACAGTCAGGGGAACATCATAAGATTGATTATTATTATCTTTAAATAAAATGGTGTAGTAAGAACTCTGCTGCAGTGCCAAGGCAACAGAATTTCCCTATCCAGTGATAATGGGGCCTTTATTTATCTGCTATCTGAGTCACCAAAGCAACCCTTACATATTATAATCTATATTCTACTCCAGAGATTTTCCCTCTTATACTTCCTTGTGCAAAAACTCGGAGGAAGTAATTTGTAGTTGTGAGAAATGTTAGTTAGTTTTAATATTTAGTACACATCTGCCTACCAGGTTTTAAGCCTGCTGTGTGGGGGTTAGAGTGATGACATGAAAATTTCCAACTGCATTCTATACTCAGCACATTATTATTCATGTTATCTGTTTTACTTTATTTTATATTATTAGCATAACCTAGCATTATTGCAGAGCTTGATCTTGCACAGTGCTGAATACTCTGGTTCTGATCCGGCAACACACTTAAGCACATGCTTTACTTCAGTGGAACTACTCATATACTTAAAGTTAAGCAAGTCCTTAAGAATGTTACCGGATGGTAAAAACATCAGAATGGCCATACTGGTCAGACAAATGGTTCATCTAGCACAGTATCCTGTCTTTCAGCAGTGGCTGTTGCCAGATTCATCAGAGGGAATGAACAGAACAGGGCAAATTATCGAGTGGTGCATCCCCTTTCATCCAGTCCTGGCTTCTAGATGAAGCCAGTCAGAGGTTTATGGACACATAGATCATGGGCTTGCTTCCCTGACCATCTTGGCTAATAGCTCTTGATGGACCTGTCCTTCAGGAACTTATCTAATTCTTTTCTGAGCCCAGTTATACTTTGAGCCTTCACAACATTCCCTGGCAATGAGTTCCATAGGTTGACTAAGCGATGTGAGAAGTACCGGTACTTCCTTTTGTTTGTTTAAACCTGCTGCCTATTAATTTCATTGGGTGACCCAATTCGTGTATTATGTGAAGGGGTAAATAACACTTCCTTATTCACTTTCTCCACACCATTCAGGATTTTATAGCCTTCTCTATCATATTCCTCCTTAGTCATCTCTTGTCTAAGATGAACAGTCTCAGTCTTTTTAATCTCTCCTTTTATGGAAGCTGTTCCATCCCCCTAATATTTTTTGTTGCCCTTCTATGTGCTTTTCCAATTCTAATATATTTTTTTGAGATGAGGCAATGAAAAGTGCAAGTAATATTCAAAATGTGGGCGTACCATGGATTTATATAGTGGCATTATTGTATTTTTTTATTATCTATCCCTTTCCTAATAGTTCCTAACATTCTGTTAGCTTTTTTTGACTGCTGCTGCACTCTGAGCAGATGTTTTCAGAGAAATATCCACAAGATTTCTTTCTTGAGTCATAACAGCTAATTGAGACACCATCATTTTCTATATATAGTTGGGATTCTGTTTTCCAATGTGCGTTACTTTGCATTTATCAGCATTGAATTTCATCTGCCATTTTATTGCCAAGTCACTCAGTTTTATGAGATCCTTTTGTGATTCTTTGCTGTCAGCTTTGAACTTAACTAACTTGAGTAATTTTGTATTGTCTGCAATGTTTGACATCTCACTATTTATCCCTTTTTCCATATCATTTATGAATATGTTGAACAGCACTGGTCCCAGGACAGATGCCTTGGGGACTCCACTATTTACCTTTCTCCACTGTGCAAAATGACGACTTATTCATAACCTTTGTTTCCTATCTTTAAATCACTTACTGATTCATGAGAGGACTTCCCCTCTTATTCCATGACTGCTTAGTTTGCTTAAGAGCAGTTGGTGTGGGACCTTGTCAAAGGCTTTCTGAAAGTCCAAGTACACTATATCAATTGGATCACTGTTGTGCACATGCTTTTTGACATCCTCATAGAATTTTAATAGATTGGTGAGGCATGCTTCCCCTTTACAAAAGCCATGTTGACTCTTCCCCAATGTATTGTGTTCATCTACGTGTCTGATATTTCGTTATTTACTATAATTTCAACCAGTTTGCCTGGTACTGAAGTTAGGTTTACTGGCTTGTAATTGCCAGGAATGCTTTGAGAGCCTTTTTTGAGAAATTGGTGTTACATTCAGGGCCATCCCTACCCATACGCAAAGTACGCAGCTGCGTAGGGCACCAGGAAATTTGGGGCACCACATTTCCTGGTGCCCTGCACAGCTGCGTGCTGCTCCAGACCCTGCACCATCTCTTCCCCATGACCTCCGGCCCTGCCCTGCCTCTTCCCACCCCTGCTCCGCCCTAGCCCCGCCCCCACTCCCCTGAGGACTGCAGCAGGGCTGGGCCTGCACTCACCGGCGGCGGGAGGTGCAGCGACCCAGCCCCAGCCCAAGCCCACTCCGCGTCGCTGGTGAGTGCTGGGGGGTTGGTTCCCTCCTAACCCCCTGCGGAGGCCTGTGAGGGGGTGTGTGGCTGTGTAGGGCCCCAGAATAGTTAGGGATGGCCCTGGTTACATTAGCTATCTGCCAGTCATCTGGTACAGAGGCTGATTTAAGCTATAGATTACATACCACAAATAGTAACTGCAATTTATAGTTGAGTTCCTTCTGAACTCTTGGGTGAATACCATCTGGTCCTGGTGACTTATCACTGTTTAATTTATTAGTTTATTCCAAAACCAGCTTTATTGACACCTAAATCTGGGACAGTTCCTCAGATTTGTCATCTAAAAAGAATGGCTTGAGTGTGGAAAACTCCCTCACATCCTCTGCAGTGAAGACCAACACAAAGAATTAATTTGGCTTCTCCACAACAGCCTTGTCTTCACTGAGTGCTCCTTCAGCACTTGGATCATCCAGTGGCCCCACTCGTTGTTTGGCAGGCTTCCTGCTTCTGATATACTTACACAAAAACTAAACAGCAACATTTTTTTCCCCGCTAGTTGCTCTTCAGATTCTTTTTTGGCCTGCCTAATTATACTTTTACATTTGACTTGCCAGAGTTTATGCTCCTTTCTATTTTCCTCAGTAGGATTTGACTTCCAATTTTGAAGGATTTCTTTTTACCTCTAACCACCTCTTTACTTTGTTGTTTAACCAAAGAGGCATTTTTTAGTCCTCTTTGCTGCTTTTTTTCATTTGGGATATACTTTTAGTTTGAGTCTGTATTATGGTGTTTTTAGTTTCCATGCAGCTTATGAAAGTGAAATGCCTGTGACTTTTAATTTCCATTTAACTAGCTTCCTCATTTTTGTGAAGTTCCCCTTTTTGAAGTTTCATGCTACTGTGGTGCGTTTCTTTAATAGTTTTCTTCCTACAAGAAAGTTGCATTTAATTACATTATGGTCGCCATTACTGAGCTGTTCATCTATATTCCCCTCTTGCATCAGAACCTGTGCTCCACTTAGGACTGAATCAAAGATTGCCTCTCCATTTGTGGGTTCTGGGACCAGCTGCTCCGAGAAGCACTATATGGTGTCCAGAAATTTTATCTCTGCCTCCTGTCCTGAGGTGACATGTACCCAGTCAATATGGGGATAGTTGAAGTTCCCCATGATTATTGGTTTTAGGGTATGTCTACACTACGAGAGTAGTTCGATTTTAGTTAAATCGAATATGTGCAATCGATATTAGAAAGTCGAACGTGTGTGTCTACACTAAGGACAGTAATTCGACTTTGTGAGTCCACACTAACGGGGCAAGCGTCGACATTGGAAGCGGTGCACTGTGGGCAGCTATCCCACAGTTCCCGCAGTCCCCGCTGCCCATTGGAATTCTGGGTCGATCCGCCAATGCCTTCTGGGTAAAAAAATGTGGCGAGGGTGCTTTTGGGTAACTGTCGTCATCCGTCAGTCACTACCGCCCTCCCTCCCTCCCTCCCTGAAAGCGCCGGCGGGAAATCAGTTCGCGCACTTTTTGATCAGTGACAGCGCGGACGCCACAGCACGCCGATCATGGATCCCGCTGCGACCATCGCTGCAGTTGTGGTCGTTCTCAACGCCTCGCAGCTTATCATACACCTTTCCCAGAGGCAGATGCAGAGAAATCAGGCAAGAAGGCTACGGCACCGCCGTGAGGGCCTGAAGTCGGAGAGTAGCACAGAGCTGTCAGAAACCACGAGCCCCAGCGCCCAGGACATCACGGTGGCAATGGGGCATGTGGATTTTGTTGAACGGCGATTCTGGGCCCGGGAAACAAGCACGGACTGGTGGGACCGCATAGTGCTTCAGGTCTGGGATGAATCCCAGTGGCTGCGAAACTTTCGCATGCGGAAGGGGACTTTCCTCGAACTTTGTGAGTTGCTGTCCCCTGCCCTGAAGCGCAAGGACACCCGCATGCGAGCAGCCCTGACTGTCCAGAAGCGAGTGGCCATAGCCCTCTGGAAGCTTGCAACGCCGGACAGCTACCGGTCAGTCGCGAACCACTTTGGCGTGGGCAAATCTACCGTGGGGGTTGTTGTCCTGCAAGTAGCCAAGGCAATCGTCAAGGTACTGCTGTCAAAGGTAGTGACCCTGGGAAACGCGCAGGCCATCATAGATGGCTTCGCAGCGATGGGATTCCCAAACTGCGGTGGGGCTATAGATGGGACTCACATCCCTATCCTGGGACCGGGCCACCAGGCCAGCCAGTACATCAACAGAAAGGGCTACTTTTCAATGGTGCTGCAAGCACTGGTGGACCATCGGGGACGTTTTACAAACATCAACGTCGGATGGCCGGGCAAGGTTCATGACGCTCGCGTGTTCAGGAACTCTGGTCTGTTTAGACGGCTGCAGGAAGGCATTTACTTCCCGGACCACAAGATAACTGTTGGGGATGTGGAGATGCCTACAGTGATCCTCGGGGACCCAGCCTACCCGCTAATGCCCTGGCTCATGAAGCCCTATACTGGCGCCCTGGACACTGCACAAGAACTCTTCAACTACCGGCTGAGCAAGTGCAGAATGGTCGTGGAGTGTGCTTTTGGCCGTCTCAAGGGGAGATGGAGAAGCTTACTGACTCGCTGTGATCTCAGCGAAACCAATATCCCCATCGTTATTGCAGCTTGCTGTGTGCTCCACAATCTCTGTGAGAGCAAGGGGGAGACCTTTATGGCGGGGTGGGAGGTTGAGGCAAATAGCCTGGCTGCTGATTACGCCCAGCCAGACAGCCGGGCGATTAGAAGAGCCCAGCGGGACGCGCTGTGCATCCGGGAGGCTTTGAAAGCCAGTTTCAAGACTGAGCAGGGTACCCAGTGACTTTTAAGTTTGTGGACACAGAAGCTGAACTTGCCCCCGTTTCTTTACCCGGTTGCCGTCGACTATCCTCTCCAGTTACATACCCCCTTCACCCCCTTCCCAAAAAATAAAATCTGTTCTGTTTTGTTAATGGACACCGTTGTCTTTATTACTGTTTTCGCGGGAATGTTTTAAACCTGGGACGCAGACTGTGGCATAAGATCTGTAACTGCCCTCCCCCGCCACAAAGTCACAGAGCAACCCCCCCCTCCCCCCCAGGACATGAAAACCACCTCCCAGACTGACCAGGGTAACTAGTCACTGCACTGTATATGTGCCCTGCTGCTGGACCTGCCCCCTGCTAAAGGTGACTGTCCTGTCCAATTACCAAGCCCCTTCCCCCCCCTTCAGACAGACTCTCCTCCAAAAGAAGAGGATGGAAACAGTAATGAACAGAAACGTATTTTTTATTAACAACCGCACATGGAACGGGGGGGTGAAACTTGGACGGGGTCTTGTGTGAGGCGGGTAGGAAAGGACTTTTCAAATTTTGGGGAATGAGAGCCTTCTAGTGGTAGAGCAGTCCGCAGGGGTGGAGTGAAATTTTTCACGGACCCTGCCGCCCCTCCGTGTTTGGACTTTGGGTGAGGGGGGTATGGGACTTGGTGGCGGGGCAGGGCAGTTAGAGAGAGACTGCAGCGGGGCTCTCTCCTCCTGCCTCCGGTCCTGCAGAACATCCACAAGGCGGCGGAGCGTGTCCGTTTGCTCCCTCATTAGTCCAAGCAGCGTTTGAGTAGCCTGCCAGTCCTCCTGTCGCCACCTCTCCTCCCGTTCCATGTTTGCCCGGTGCATTTGGGACAAGTTCTCCCTCCACTGTGTCTGCTGGGCTGCCTGTGCTCGGGAGCATGCCATTAGTTCAGCAAACATGTCTTCCCGTGTCCTCTTCTTCCTCCTCCTAATGTGCGCTAGCCTCTGGGCAGATGTGGCTGTGGGAATTGGAAAAAGGGAGTGAATTCCTGAGACAGATCAATGTATCTGTGAACAGAGAACATAGTCTTTCTCTGTGAACAAGACCATGCAGAGCACCTATCACACGCGCACTGAGGACAAGGTCGAATTTTCGGCCCTCGCGTACAGTGCCTGCGGTCTTGCTGTGGCGAGCTGAGGAGCGGGGCAGGACACCGGACTTTGTCTAGCTGGCAAACATGGTAAGCCGTAGACTTGGGGCTGCTTAAAACTTTAAGAGTGGCACTGGCCTCCTTTCACATAGAAAGCAATGCGAGTCTCTGCTGGCAGCAATCCTGCAAGCATGAACTCTGGCCCTGTCCCACCCCCTCGCGGCTGTAAACCGCGTGGCTGTAAACCGGCGGTTGCAGTTCTGTAAAGGGACGGGCAAGCAGTCCCAATACTAACTTTCCCCTACCTAATTCACAGCAAGGAGTCATGCCAGACATCACCCTCCTGAAGGTCTCGGAGAGCCAGAAGGAGCGGATGCTTCGGGACAGCCTGCAGAAACCGGGGCCATTTGCTGCAATGCTCTGCAAGGCCATGATCCCCGAGTACCTGCTGGCGTTGTGGCAGGGAAACGTCTCATACCACGGGGGGCCTAATAAGCTCTCCCTGCCCAGGAACCTGCTCATGAGGCTTGAAAAACACCTGCAGGAGGCCTATGAGGAGTTCTCCCCGGAGGATGTCGCCTCTATCCCCGGATACATTGACCAGTTTTTGGCTTAGGTGCCCTTGGAGGGACAAAAGAGTGGAGCGTTTTGGGCAGTATAATCATGAAGCGGACATTGTGAAATTTTTTGAAAATAGTTCGGACTATATATTGAAGCACCCAAAGACAGACTAATCATGATACCCTTTGCACATATTCCCGTTTTGTTGGACTTTACTCTTTACATGTTTTGAAGCACTTTACCCATTGTTAATATTTTAAATCTTCCTGTTCTGTTATAAATAAATGTTTACATGTTTGAAAGCACTTTAGCTATTGTTAATATTTTAAATATGCCAGTTATGTTATAAATAAATGTTTAGATATTTAAAACACTTACTGCTTGATCCTTCCCCTGAATCTGTGTCTGGGATAACGGCTGGGGAGGGTTGGTAGGGGATCTCTGTGAGGGTGATGAAGAGCTCCTGGCTGTCGGGCAAATCAGCGTTGTAAGCGCTGTCGACTGCCTCGTCCTCCTCATCTCCTTCCTCCTCTTCCCCGTCCGCTGAGGAACCGGCCGCGGACAATATCCCATCCTCAGAGTCCACGGTCACTGGTGGGGTAGTGGTGGCGGCCGCACCTAGGATGGAATGCAGTGCCTCGTAGAAACGGGATGTGTGGGGCTGGGATCCGGAGCGTCCGTTTGCCTCTTTGGTCTTCTGGTAGCCTTGTCTCAGCTCCTTGATTTTCACTCGGCACTGCGTTGCATCCCGGCTGTATCCTCTCTCTGCCATGGCTTTAGAGATCTTCTCAGAGATCTTTGCATTCCGTCTTTTGGAGCGCAGCTCGGAAAGCACGGACTCATCTCCCCACACAGCGATGAGATCCAAGACTTCCCGATCAGTCCATGCTGGGGCCCTCTTTCTATTAGATTGCACGGCCATCTCTGCTGGAGAGCTCTGCATCGTTGCCACTGCTGCTGAGCTCGCCACGGTGTCCAAACAGAAACTGCGATTCAAACTGCCCAGACAGGAAAAGGAATTCAAATTTTCCCGGGGTGTGGCTGGTCAGAGCATCCGAGCTCGGACTGCTGTCCAGAGCGTCAACAGAGTGGTGCACTGTGGGATAGCTCCCGGAGCTATTAGCGTCGATTTCCATCCACACCTAGCCTAATTCGACATGGCCATGTCGAATTTAGCGCTACTCCTCTCGTTGGGGAGGATTACAGAAATCGATTTAAAGAGAGCTCTATGTCGAACTAAATAGCTTCGTGGTGTGGACGGGTGCAGGGTTAAATCGATGTAACGGCGCTAAATTCGACATAAAAGCCTAGTGTAGACCAGGCCTTAGTAGCCTGTCTAATCTCCCTCAGCATTTCAAAAGCACCATCACCATCCTGGTCAGGAGGTTGATAATATATTCCTACTGCTATACTCTTATTATTCAAGCATGGAATTTCTATCCAAACAGATTCTATGATCAAGGCCAGAGTACTTAGCATCTTGCAGGTTGAAGCCCATATTTATTTAAAATGTATAATGTCTCCCCCCTCAGGACCTGTCCTTAAATCCTAAATACAGCCCAGCCATTAACACATAATAAAAGACCAAATTTTCAGTGGACTTGGCCAGCAGGGAATTCCCCTTGTGTAGGGGAACTCCATTGGCATAAAGCTGGTGGAGGCCATGGAGATGGTTCCTGCACCACCAAGCACTCTTGATACTCCCCAGTGTATATGGTGTTTTGGGGGAGAGAGGAGGTGTGCTGGGGCCAGGGCAGGATTGAGGAGGGGTTGTGGGGGAGCAGAGCTGTGCTATGCCAATTCTCCTCTGATACAAAGTACCTTACGCAAGCGATTTAAGCTAGAGTAGGTAGGTCACTGCACTAACTTCTGCCAGGACTATAATCAGCTAACTATAATCAGCTTCCTGGGGCTACCTCCTCTCTGACAACCCATCCTAAAGTAACCAGAATAAAAGACTTGATTCCTGCTCTTCAAATGACATAGTGGAAAGGGCCAGGCAAAGGCCTGTCCAAAGTGATAGATCATACTCTGGCTCTAGTGGATTGCTAGAGGGGCTCACTCCAGGGGTGTGTGACATTGAGAATACACTTCATTGAGTGTTTAAAACTCAGGACAGATAGCAAGAGCGATGCAGAGGATTACAACTTCCATGAAGATAACTGGGTCCCATTATAGGATTTACACTGCAGTAGCTGAGAGAAGAATTTGGTCCATCATACTCATGTGATTTTTTATTAAGTTCTGAATTTGTCTGTTTCTTACATATTTAAGTCAAATGTGATATTTTCAGAATGACCAATTATAATGGCAAGTTTAGAAAATTACATAGTTTCTACTAGTGCCTAAATATATTCCTTTTTTACTGTTGATATAAATCCCTACTCTTTTTTTACATTTTTAACAGATTGAACTTCGCCGCATAATAATTTATTGTAACCCAAAATTTGCAGCTCAAGAGACCTGTTGTGAAATATCTGAGGGCATGGTAGGTTATTTATAAAAATGTAAATATAAAACTAAAAATGCATTAATCATCTTTTATGACAAAACTTTCACCTTATTTTATTTAAAGAGCGTAAACAAGAAGCATTGCAACATTAAATTGGTCTTTCCTAAAAATGGGATACATTTTCCAGAAGAGCTCTTGCTAGGTGAGTTGTTGAAACAGGATAGCATTGGCAGAGCAGCACTTCAGTAAAGAGGAATATAAGGGACACTGTCCCAATGAAGACCACTGGAGACTGCCATGCCCCACTCTCTAGATACAGTTATCCATACTAATGAATAGTTGAGGAAGTCACAGGTAGAGTGATTAGAATGTAGATCTTTCCCACTGAGCTAAATTAATGTGTGGTTTCAGAGAAAAGAGAGACTTTTATACTTGATTATCAGCTTTACTTATGATTCCATTATGTGTAGACAGTGGGGCTTGTGGAAGGGGCATCACAAACCTGTATGAGATGGAATGGAGAGGGGAAGGGAATGGGGACAGAACTTTTGTTAACATACTTTCATTTTACTACTATAAGGAAAATAGAAATAAAGAAAATAAACAACTGAATGTCCTGAACCTGACAACTATATTTTTATCTTTGATGTACTTTGCATTTTTTGGATATGCACATAGTAAAGATAAGGTGCCATATTCATTGAATTCAGTGGAGTTACTTTTCTCCTTTGTTTTGACAGATACAAGCTATGTGGGTTTGAAGTCACTAGGATTACTCATTTGCTTGAAGCTGAGCGTGTGAATAAGTGCTTTACTGAACCAGGCCCTTATTTTTAAAATAGTTGTACCTGAGTTGTGCATGCAAAATGGGCACTAGGACACAACTAAACACAGATTTGAAGAGAAGAAGAAGCTGAGAGGGAGGGAAATCAGATGGATAGGGCAGCTTGGAACCCATATGCAGGATGGATAATGAGTCAGGCTGTCCCCAGAATATACCCATGGATTTGAGAGGGCAAAATGGGCTTCCCACCCATCTCCTAAATCTCCAAAAAGCCAAACAAACCGCAGGATGGATGACCACTAGTGTATCTCAGCTGTAAAGAGACAGGGAAAGGGGAGAAAAATTTGCCAAGATTAGAACAACAGAGTACAGTGTGTGTGAGCAAGGAGTAGGCAGATGTGAGGTCAGAAATGTAGAGTGGAGCAAGCTTGTGAAGAGAAATTTCAATTTTAAATAACACTTTTATGTTCACATACATTTCGTAGTTTATTCCTGGTGAGAAAAGAGACTTCCTCCTTAATATACATACTACTGGGCTGAGTAAAATGAGTGGCATTTCTGTTAACTTCTTGTGTACAGAAGTGCATTTTAAACAGGCTATGACACAACTAAAACATTTAGTTATGTATGGAAAAGGTCATACTGAATTTATGTTTGCAGTATTGTAGCCATGTTGGTCCTATGATATTAGAGAGCCAAGGTGGTTGAGGTAATATATTTTATTGGACCAACTTCTGTTGGTGAGAGAGACAGGCTTTCGAACTACACAGAGCTCTTTTTCAGGTCCTTCTTTAGCCATCTCATCATATTGAATTTATAGCATCCTTAAAGTACAATTCAACTACACAGATAAAAGAAGCTTTGAATTCTAGTATATCTTATTCCACAGACAAATGACAAAGCTCCCTGTCCTGAAAATGTAAAATGAATGGCCTAAACATTGTTACTTTATTATAATCATCATAAACTTAGTTGCTTTAAATGTAATTATTGTAAGCAATTTTATATTTTCGGATTTTATAAGCCTTAGCAACGGTAACGGCTAAAATTGCATTTTTTTTAAAAAGAAAAGCTTATATTATGAAGCAAAATTCTGCACAAGAGATATATTCTGGGTGAAATACCATGACTGCAGGATCACAGAGACCCTGGTTATGTTTTCATTAGAATATGCCAGTTTCTGTTCACCTGACTTTCAGTGTACCTAATGAGTAGCCTCAGCTCAGATGGTTTCCAGACATTTGAGCATTGGCTTCAGTTTGGGGGGTTTCTGAATGGTAAACCCAGCAAGTTACATTACAGAAGTGACAACCTCCCCCCTTGCCCATGAGTTCCCCTCTTACTAATCATTTCCTGGGGTGATCAGGTGGCTCAGTAGCCTTTTATTCCCCTCTTCCATTTTCAGGGAAACTAGGACCCTCACACTGTGACAGGAGAGATCAGGGATTTCCTAACATTGTATTACACCTAGAGTGACTTATATTTTATTTATAAAACAGGCATATTTGCCTAGGTTTGGTTTCAGTGCAGCAGGATCACACATCTATAGTCTTCATTTTACTGGTGCTGTGTGCAGTAACCTGAGACAAAAAAGGCTGAATAGGAACCATGTTTGGATTTTTACTTGTCAGTTACCAGCAGTGGACTCAATTCAGAATAATCATTATTTCTATTTTAGTGCCCACTGGAGGACAGTTTCATTACTACTTCTTCGTCACCAATGACTGTTCATGTCAGCAAAATACATGCTCTTCCAGTAACACAGCAGAAGTCTAAAGACCTATGCCTCTGCTTTCCAAACAAAGTATGAGAGTCTTCTTCTACATGTATATCCTTTATCTTGCATGCTTTGCAGATTCTCAAACTGTCATTTAATGCACCATGCTGTTTAATTGATACAGGTGTAGAAATTCTGAATTTCTTTGGAGGTACGGAAATGGTTTATTTCTGTGGTACACCTAGCCTTATATTTGGAGGTTAAGATAAAATAAATGTAAATTAAATTAAAAGTTAATGTTTGTTAGCTTTACAAGATTAAATGTCTTGAATGCACAAAACAAATGGACTGTTGTTGGATCATCTTCAGAAGCAGCATGAAAAATGAAAACTATTCTTACACAATTTATATTTTACCTAGATTGCTTATGTGAGAGTCCACTATTTCCTGGACTCTTATCTTTTTAGTGTCAGATAACAGCACTGTATCATTGTCCCAGTGTTAGTGCCATATTTGTCTTGACTGATTTATATTGTTAAAGTTTCTGTGGTAGAAAAAGGAAAAATATCACATATTTCTGTTATCTGAAAACTCATTTTTAAACAGGGTGAAGCAGGATTGCCAGGAGTAGCTGGTTTGCCAGGTCAGAAAGGAGATAAAGGAGAAAAGGTAAGATGCCAATCCCCTATGACATCAGCCAAGGCTTTACCTCCTGTTTCTTCCTACTTTCGGTAACAAGACAGCTTATACAGCTTTTTTTTTTTTTTTTTGAGAAATCCTCTTATACATCTATTAAATATAACAATATAAATATTAAATTAATTATATTATAATAGAACAGAACGGCACCCATTCCGTGGTCCCTCAGTTTTCCTTGTGCTTTTTTCCCCTTACCACCACTGTTCTGGACACTGCAGGAAGACAGAGAAGAGACCCAGAATGTGGTTTTACTAGACCATGCTTTAAGTAACATCTGTGTAGCCTTTTATTTTATTTAATGTAAATTGTGCTATTGTGGGTTCAGCTTTGGTGTCTTCAGTCTCAAGCTCAACAGAATTATTTTTGTTTGTTCTAGATTTAGACCTCATAGGAAAACATGAAACCATAGGCAAGTAACACATACAAGAGCAAGGTTCGCTATTTTTTAGCAGTTTTATTAAAGTTGGCAACAAAGTTATAAATGTTACAGCATGTACAATTCCTAAATATAATCATGTATCAGTTATAACTACATACATACTTACATCCTTCTAAGTGGTGTTAGAGTCTGACGGCCCTCTTATGGATTGATCATCAATACGGGGATGGTCCCTGCTGGAGGTTTCCCATAGGAAGCTCAATTTTCCCACTCTGGGCATCCTTTTTTATAATGTGATTTTTGTCTATAACCTACATTCTGCGCATGTACATGGAAGTGTCAACCCTCTTTTTCTGATTGGTAGCCAAAAGATACAATTTTAAATTATAAAATGCAAATGTAAAAGCAAATCTTGTCTCCAAGGCCTAAAATAGCTAAGCTAAAATCTTGCAGGCCTCAGCATTTTAGCTTGTGTTACTTATATTGAATACATAATTCCTCTAAATACTAATTAATCTTATACTTCTATAGTTCTATAAATTAACTCTACTTAATATACAATAAATACAGATAATATAACATTAACATTACACAATAAATGGATAATAAATTAAAATCATTGACTATATCTGGTAACTGTCTGGCAATAACTCATCCAGTGCAGGTCATCTTTCCTTTGTAATCCATACCACCTGGATCACCATGCCATAGCCCTCACTCCTCACACGTACCTCTGAATGGGGAGTTGCTCCTATCCCTACATTCCCTCTCTACAATGGATTCAGAGGTGTTTGATCTGTAACATTCTGCCTGTTGGAAGGACCCTCACTCTCTTGGCTGTTGCCACTTCCTCAGTCTTTCACCCAAGCATGACCTGCCAGGGCTTGATGCCCAGATTTCATCACAGAGGGTAGGGTTGCTTTGCCTGCCCCATAATGTGTGGGCACTAGCCAGAAAATTCATAACCCCATCCTAGTCTGCTGCCTACCAGCTGTCTGCAGTAGAGCATACACTGCGGGCTGCTGCTAGGTTTTCCAGGGTAGATGAAAGTCAACAATTTGTAGCTTTCAGGTACAGAATTTAAGTTAGTCCTGGAGAATATTTTTAACTGCTCTCAAAACTTTTCAACCAAGTAATGTAAGTATTCCGCAAGTAGCAAAAGTCAGAAGTCATAGGGTATTTGCCTGATTTAGATATAATTTAGATATAATTTCTCTAGTAGTAGTTTTCCACTTTCTGCTGAGCTGAGAACTTTACCTTGTTTCCTGTTCTGGAAACAGCTTCCACATCCTTAGCATGGTGTGTGGCTATTCAGAGTCTTACTTAGGCATGTGCTGATTACAATGTATTTTGGATCAGGTGATATAAACAGCTGAATACACATCATCTGTGTGTAAAAATCCTTAAGAAAAATAATGTCCCTGGTAGTAGCTTGAACAATGATATATTTAGTGAACATGCATCCTGTGTTCCTCGCTTTATCGGAATATTACTAAGTTACTGTAAAATATTCTTTGTTTTTATTTACGTATCCGTTTGAAGTGAATTTAGACCTCATGAAAGGTGCTAGATTGACATCCCTGGAGAATTAAGTATTTCATTATAGTAATAAGCTGCTCCAAGGTGTGCCTTCATAGGCTGTTGGTGAATGCCTTAGGTATATTGCAGCCACAAAGGCTGAGTGCCTTCAGACATCAAAGTGCTCATTGATGCACATCCTGGAGTGGTTTATGGCTATTAGAGTATGGTTAATTAATTTACATAAGTGATCTCTCTCTCTCCTGCCATCCATCTCCACCCTCTGACAAACAGAGGCTAGGGATACCATTCATTACCCATCCTGGCTAATAGCCATTAATGGACTTAACCTCCATGAATTTATCTAGTTCTCTTTTAAACCCGGTTATAGTCCTAGCCTTCACAACCTCCTCAGGTAAGGAGTTCCACGTGTTGACTGTGGGCTGTGTGAAGAAGAACTTCCTTTTATTTGTTTTAAACCTGCTGCCCATTAATTTCATTTGGTGGCCCCTAGTTCTTATATTATGGGAACAAGTAAATAACTTTTCCTTATTCACTTTCTCCACACCACTCATGATTTTATGTACCTCGATCATATCCCCCCTTAGTCTCCTCTTTTCCAAGCTGAATAGTCCTAGTCTCTTTAATCTCTCCTCATATGGGACCCGTTCCAAACCCCTAATCATTTTAGTTGCCCTTTTCTGAACCTTTTCTAATGCCAGTATATCTTTTCTGAAATGGGGAGACCACATCTGTACACAGTATTCAAGATGTGGGCATACTATGGATTTATATAAGGGCAATAAGATATTCTCCGTCTTATTCTCTATCCCTTTTTTAATGATTCCTAACATCCTGTTTGCTTTTTTGACTGCTGCTGCACACTGTGTGGACGTCTTCAGAGAACTATCCACGATGACTCCAAGATCTCTTTCCTGATTAGTTGTAGCTAAATTAGCCCCCATCATATTGTATGTATAGTTGGGGTTATTTTTTCCAATGTGCATTACTTTACATTTATCCACATTAAATTTCATTTGCCATTTTGTTGCCCAATCACTTAGTTTTGTGAGATCTTTTTGAAGTTCTTCACAGTCTGCTTTGGTCTTAACTATCTTGAGCAGTTTAGTATCGTCTGCAAACTTTGCCACCTCAGTTTACCCCTTTCTCCAGATCATTTATGAATAAGTTGAATAGGATTGGTCCTAGGACTGACCCTTGGGGAACACCACTAGTTACCCCTCTCCATTCTGAAAATTTACCATTTATTCCTATCCTTTGTTCCCTGTCTTTTAACCAGTTCTCAGTCCATGAAAGGATCTTCCCTCTTCTCCCATAACAACTTAATTTACATAAGAGCCTTTGGTGAGGGACCTTGTCAAAGGCTTTCTGGAAATCTAAGTACACTATGTCCATTCAATCTCCCTTGTCCACATGTTTGTTGACCCCTTCAAAGAACTCTAATATATTAGTAAGACATGATTTCCCTTTACAGAAACCATGTTGACTTTTGCCCAACAATTATGTTCTTCTATGTGTCTGACAATTTTATTTTTTACGATTGTTTCAACTAATTTACCCGGTACTGACGTTAGACTTACCGGTCTGTAATTGCCAGGATCACCTCTAGAGCCCTTTTAAAATATTGACGTTACATTAGCTATCTTACAGTCATTGGGTACAGGTGCTGATTTAAAGGACAGGTTACAAACCATAGTTAATAGTTCCGCAGTTTCACATTTGAGTTCTTTCAGAACTTTTGGGTGAATGCCATCTGGTCCCAGTGACTTGTTACTGTTAAGTTTATCAATTAATTCCAAAACCTCCTCTAATGACACTTCAGTCTGTGACAATTTCTCAGATTTGTCACCTACAAAGGACGGCTCAGGTTTGGGAATCTCATTTTAATTAAAAGGAAAAAAGTGTCTTTCCACTAGGAAAAATACATTGAAGTAGGATAAGAGAAATTACTAAAGAAAAGAACTCTCAGAAGACAGGAGGAGTAGTTTAAAATGGCCCTTTTCTCTCTCCACCTGCTCTCCCTGCCTTTCTCCCTTTCTTCTTCCCTTCCTCTCTTACTAAATTCCTAATAAACAGAATTGGCAGCCTTAAATCACCTCCCAATTTAGGCACCTCAAGCCTCGTGAAGCTAGTGAAGTAACTGGGCAATGTTTAAGGTGAAGTTTAATTTTAGGGACATGAAGTGGTTTGAGGCTCCCAATTAAGTTTCTTAGGAATTTGGGACAGGAGCAAGAAGAGGCAAACACAGGAGATCAGAGGTGGGGCAGGGATGTTAAAATTTTTTGCTGCTTTTGTAGCCAATACCCATAACGTGATAAATGGTGTGGTAGAAAAATAGAGCATAACAAAGAAAAAAATCTTCCTTCTTACATACTTTCTCTTTTACCCATAACACAATGGTGAGAAATAGTCTCTTTCCTTTGATGAGGTCTCAGCTGTGCACCATTAAAAGTGGATGCATCATGAAAAAGATTTAACCAGCCATTAGAACTTGGCTGGGGAAAACTGGAATTCTCAGCCATTATGATCTGGTGTTCTCATCTAATTATCCACAGAACACACACAGCTCTGGCAATAGCATCATTGCAAGCTTCTCTACATTACTCCGCCTGTGTGCCTCTCTTCTCCTCTGGGAAGGGAGGGGGGAGAATGGGACACGCTTAGAGGGGGATGATATTAATTAATTCAGCATGTGGATTTAGTTCCTGTCTTTTGTCCTGAGATTGACCGCAAGGGTACTACTTAGTGCAGTTATGATCGGTGTGTTTTTTGTGATGTGGAGGTCTGTCCACTGGGCACTGGACTGAGATCAGGGCCGGCTCCAGGCACCAGATGAGAAAGCACGTGCCTGGGGCGGCACATTGTAAGGGGCGGCATTCTGGCCAATCTTGGGGCGGCCAGCCCAGCCCTGAAGGGGCACGGACCCTGTCATAACTATAAAGGGAAGGGTAACAGCTCTCCTGTGTACAGAGACTCCAAATCCTTTTACCTGTAAAGGGTTAAGAAGCTCGGGTAACCTGGCTGACACCTGACCCTAAGGACCAATAAGGGG